CGCCATCAGTCGGACATCCCCCGAGGGGTCCCAGATTGGAGAGGGTGCAGGCTGGGCTGAGGGACACCCTCCCTCCCCCCAGTGCATGAATTTCGTGCACCGGGCCTCTAGCACATAAATAATAATACAAAGTAAACTCTGTGTCTCATGTACGCACAACCGTGGGCTCACTTCTGCCTCCCCCTGTGAGCACACTCCCCACCTGTCATCAGGGTGACGTGCCGTCTGAGCTACCGACCCTGGCAGGCCCCTCCCAGACCCAGGCCCATCTCCTTGGGATGAGGCCAAGGAGGGAGCATCGCACCAACGTCGCTGACATGCTTGGTCCCGAGCTCACAGACCGACCGGGAGCTGATGGCCCTGCTGCCTCCACCAGGGGATGGTCTGGGTCGGGATTCAGCTCGGGGTCTAAGGAAGCCCCAGGGCATAGTTTCTCACCCACATTGTCTCGGATGAGTGTCAAGGGAGAGACTGTGTGCGCTTCTATGCGTTTGTTTCTCAAATAAAATATGTCTGGAGACCAGGAATTACAAGCAATGACAATACCCTAAACTTTTTATTTCACAAGCAAATAAGTGTATAGACATTGTCTTTTTTTAATATCCTTTTTATTGTTGACAGAATTACAGATGTCTCCCATTTTCCTCCCGTTAACCCCCACCTCCCAGTCCCTACCTGCCCCCCACCAGGTCTTCCCCACCTTATGGCCCGTATCCATGGGCGGTGCCTATCCTATATAATAAAAACCTAATATGCAAATCGACCGAACGGTGGAACAACTGGCAGAACGACCGGTCACTATGATGCGCACTGACCACCAGGGGGCAGACGCTCAACACAGGAGCTGCTCCCAGCCTGCAGGCCCCAGGCCAGCCAAAGTGGGTGCCAGTGAGGGACCCCCTGATCACCCCAGGGTTGCCCCGCAGATCAGCCCTGATCACCAGCCAGGCCTAGGGACCCCACCTGTGCATGAATTTCCTGCACCGGGCCTCTAGTAAGTATATAAGTTCTTCAGTTTATCTCTTCTTGTCCCCCCAACCCCACATGGAGGCATGTCAGTCTGGTCCATGCCTCCCTGCTTCAGGTCTTATTTTGTTGGTCAATTCGTTTTGTTCTTTAGATTCCACATGTGAGTGAGGTCATGTGACACTTGTCTGTCTCTGATTGGCTTATTTCTCTCAGCATAATGCTCTCCAGGTCCCTCCATGTTGTCCCAAAGGGTAAGCGATCCTTCTTTTTTACAGCTGCATAGTATTCCATGGTGTAGCTGTACCACAGCTTTTTTATTCACTCGTCTACTGATGGGCACTTGGGCTGTGTCCAGATCTCAGCTATTGTAAGTTGTGCTGCTATGAACACAGGGGTGCACACATTCTTTCTGGTGGGTGTTTTGGGTTTTTTTTAGGATAATTTCCCAAAACTTACACACTGTCTTTGCCTTCAAAACAAAAACCCAGGAAAGACCCTGAGCTACGTCACAGCCTCTCTGTGAGTCAG